AGGTATCAGGTACGGGGACTTGAAATTATTATACTCCTCTGGGAGTATAATCTGGGTTTGGTTTGCTATTTTGTAGCACTGGGTTTGGTTTGCTATTTTGTTTAGAACTTTTTGTTCTAATCTGGGTTTGGTTTGCTATCAGACCAAGCAACTTGGCTCTGCCCAAACTTGATGACTCCCAACTTCTTAGCCTAAAAACAACCCCCCAAAACTCACAATGCCCCCCTTGTTAGAGTGATGCATCTAGTAGCCGCCTGGATTATAAATCTGCTGTGCAAAGAGACATTACTCTTTATATTGCAAAACTGGAGAGTAGTTTTGGGATAAAAACAATCTAATGAGAAGAGAGGTATCTTATCTTTAGAAGTATATGTTTTTTACATTAGGGTAGATAGGCCTTTCAGGAAGGATGGTAGCAAATATTTCAAAGCAGCATTTCCATTTGTCTTTTTTCAGGGGATAAGGCCTTACCTGGATTTTACTAGTACAGATTGTTAAAAGAATGTGGACACAGGTCTTAAAACCCCATTGAATCTGACACTTGTCAACTGTATAATCCTGGAGAAGCTGCATATTTACACTGGCCTTGATTACTCTATTGTGAAATATGTGTAAAAGTGCGGACACTATTTTCTAGTTTGCTTGGAGGATTACAGGTAATTGAAAGGGTCTAACATGATTCCTGATTCATAATTCTTACCTTGAGTGTTGCTTCCCGGCTCCAGTGCAGATCTCTCAGCTTGCTGTAACAGATCCTTTATCATGGAGTATGTGTTCATTACATGGTGTGCTATCTTCACTTACTCCAACATAGTAGTGAAGTCTGGGAGGCAGCATAGACACCCGGCACATCCTTGGTGGGCAGAGGACTCTTTAGTAACTGATTACTGTGTGTGTGTGTTTATTTGTGTCAAAGTACTGGGGGGAAATGGAGATGAATATTCTAAAACGTTCAACTGGATTTTCCCATGGCAGTTCACTTACCAGTTGTTAAAGATGTCCCCTCAAAGCCTCATGTAGTCATATGGGCAGGTTTCTAGATTTTGTGATTGATTCAGGGTCCAGTGCTGGGACTAAAGGTGTGAGTTCTATACCTGTCCTAGGTAGGATAGCCTGCATGCAATATAAAGGATTCAAAGAGGCTTTTTTCTCTTCTCTTTCTTTTCTTGTTGCTTTTGCTGTCTTCTGCTGTCATGAACTGTTGTCCCTCTGCGATGTGCCACCATGCCTTGGAGCCAGCTAGTTGTGGACTGAAACCTCTATAAACTGTGAGCTAAATAAATCTTTCCTCCTTTAACTTTGGGTGTTGGGTATTTTATCTCAGCAATGAGAGAAAAGTAGTTTTGGGTGTGGAAGGCCCACCTGAGGATTATTGCCAACAGCATAAAAGAAGAATTGCAGAAGATGATGTGTTGTTGATTCTCGTGGAGAATCTGGTCCTGCTGGTTTTTCTGATATGAATTAAGCTGTTCTCATCATCAGAGGAGCTTAGATCCCCACTGTCACTGAGGATGGCTAAAGTTCTCTTTGGGGGGAGCTTTGCTTTTTACTGTGAGTGTCGCTTCCTGCTCCAGTGCAGATCTCTCAGCTTACTGGCACAGATCCTTCATCCTGCTGGCACAGACTTTCTAGCTTCCATCGCTGACCTTTGGGCCTTCCCAGTGCAGATCTTTGAAGCAGACTTGCATGAAACACTTATGGGACTAGGCCTTCCCTTGGACTTGTGGAGTACATTGTCATTGGCTCTAGTTCTTCAGCTGGACTCATGCAGGACCTTGCTATGGGATCCAGGCCCTCAGCTGGATTCTTTGGGTCTCTAGTGTGTGCACAGATCTCCTGCACTCTTCTGACTTTTTGGGTGAATATTATAAAACAATCCTATAAATCATGTGTCCTTTATTAAATCTATTCTCTTGTAAACCCTGACTACAACACCAATGAATGATCTTTGGTGATCTCATATTCTGTCTTTTGACATAGTTCATTTTCACAAAAGTTCTGTTTGCCTTTGATTTTAGAGAGTGGAAAGAAGTCCTAAAAAGATCTTTAGGGCTAAAAATGCCCATTGGAAAAGTTAGAATGAATGTACTTTTATATCTGCCCTAATATAAGGAGTGTGGCATCTTTCTAGCACTCAGGGTAAAACTGAGGAGTGTTTGTTCCTATTTCTGCATTTATTTATGGCCATAGGAATTTTCTGATTTGTTAATTTGAAGGTTTATTCTATGTGGATCTGCCTCCTTTACTGCCTTTCATATTGTGTACAAGAAAATTAAAATAGAGTACATTATCAGTCTATCCTGAAAGATACCTTATGTCACTTTTTATACTACAAATCTTTGCACCAAATGAAGTTTTGCATGGAAAAAAATGTCCATTAGCTTTTACAAAAATTTCAATACTGTACATATTTGTCCAGAAAAATTTTGCCCTTGACATACACTACCTGTGAGAAAAACTGATAATGTATAATTAAATGATTAGTTTATATGGACCTAGTTTTTTCAGAGCTACTACAAGAAAATGTAACTGAGGGATCAAGTTACAAGGTCAGTTTGCATTAAATTAAAAGCCCCTGCATAGAGCGATCCATGCATATGGGTTTATTGTTGAGCTGTGTGAGTCGTTTTGGCACTTGAGAGCACATGTCCTTTCTCCAGGTGATGGGGAGCACTCGTTGGCTTGAGGAGCACTTGTATCAGATCACTATAGAGTTTCACCTTGTCAGGCCTGAGGGCCGCTGGCTTCCCCTGCTTGCCGTCTGGTCTGCCACTCTTTTACAGGAGTGGAAAGCACTTTTACTTCTGAATTGTGAGGCCTGACCTGTGGCCAAGTATGTACACTCTAGAAATGGAGGAGAGTCATCCCCGTTTCAATAATGGGGTTGACTCTGCGGAGAAGCAATAGTTCCTATGGGCTGTCGGAAGAGAGTCTTCGCAACTGAGTATTCAGTTTTTATGCTTGGTACTAAGTGCGGCAACTCAGCAATGCATCTAATGTTTGCTCTCTTTCCTTCTATGCCTCACTGCCTTTTGCCTTCCTGCCTGCTACCTTAGAGCTCTGCTTTCAGGGGAGCCCAGCCTAAGACGGCTTTCTTATTATTTTTATGTAACTTCCAGTCTATATTTTACAGATACACTTCATTTATGAGTTCCTTAGTGTCTGATATGAGTGAGCTCTGTCTTTAAAGAGTGTCACATGGTACATTTTCATCAAGTAGCCTGTGGATTCTCTTGAGATTTGTAGCACCCTACATTTCAGTAGTTATATGGTTTTTCTTTGCTTTGAACAACAGAACTCATGCCTGTTGATGAAACTAATGACAATTTTGCTTATTTACAAGGCTAAAGAGCCCTGAGTAGCTATGTATAAAAACAGGGCACCTGTTGTCTTCAAGGTGAGGGAGCAAACTAATACTGTTCTCCAGTTCCTCTTTAGTTTAGATGATTGGAACCGTCCAGTTTGTTCATGATTCCAGCTCCATTATCCAAATGAAGCCAATAGATATTATCGTAGTTGGGGTTGGCTTTGTCCGTAATACATATGAAAAACTCTCCAGGTAAAAGAAGTTAACTGATTTGGGGGGAAGGGGAAAGCAAACGTGCTCACCTGGAGTTGGCAGGTACATAATATAAAAAACATAAATATGAAAGTTGTATTTAGCATTGTGAACAGAGAATGGAAGAATTCAGAAAATAGAGAAAATAGTCATCTGTACTGATCCAGTCTAGGCAAGTAAGAAATGCTTGCTCCATCGTACCTGGACTGATCTTTTTCATGAGTCAAGGGGAAGGTTATCAAGCACTTCTTTTAGATAGTGTTTTTTTTTTTTTTTTTTTTTTTTGGTTTTTATCCGGTACCGGGAACCGAACTCACGACCTTGCGCTTGCCAGGCAGGCGCTTTTGCCGCTGAGCTAAATCCCCAGCCCCTAGATAGTGTTTATTTGGTTCATGTCCTAGCCAGCTCCTACTGAGCTCGTCTGTGTCAGAGACTCCAGAGTTGTGCTGAATACCATGCACTTTCAGACTAATTTTCCGTGTGACCACTTTTTGCTTTTGCTTGCCTACCATTATTCCCGCCCTTACTAGAGCAGCAGGACTTAGAACTGAGGAATCATTCCTGTTCCAGCTCTCAGTCCTTACTTTAGGTGGGGCTGATGATCCATCGTTTCAGTCCCCTAGTTCCAGGAATTAGCACCCCAGTTCTCCACACCCTGGGTTCTGATGCAGAAATGGGCACGACCCACTTTGGGTGCACCATGAGAATCAGCCCCAGGGTTTTCATTGGACATTTTGGGGGAAAGAAACTGTCTTTCCATTACATTTGGAGGTTTAGTGCCAGTTCTAGAGCTACTGGTGGCCACTGGAAGGTGAAAGGTTATTGGAACATGAAGTTTTGGGGAAGTAAAAGGCAAAGTGAGGCACTTTCTGACACACTGAGCGGCAGATCTGAGTCATAGCCTCAGATTTTCCAGGAATTAAAAGCAAAACTCCCTTTCTGCTTAAGCCAGGTTTTTTTTTTTTTTTTTTTGGTTTTTCTCCGGTACCGAGAACTGAACTCACAATCTTGCACTTGCCAGGCAGGCGCTTTGCCACTGAGCTAAATCCCCAGCCCCGTGCTTAAGCCAGTTTGACTTAGCTTTTTGTCACTTGTCACAGAAAAAGTCCTAACTGACATCTATTGATGGCGGCTACTGTCTGCATAATTCCATTAATAACGTTATGGAACATTTTGAGGTAAGAAAATGACTATATTTTTTGAGTTGCAAAAACCTCTTTTCTCCTTCTTCCATCTCTGTAGCCCCTTCTAAAGAAGTGACCCTCATAAACCCATCCCGCCTTTCCTCTCCTCCCACGTAAATGTGCAAGTTCAAGTGGATGTTTATGAAACATCACCCCTGGTGCCCTGCCTCACCCTGCAACAGTAGAAGCAACAAGAGCAGGCAACTTTGTGCTACTTAGAAAGTTATAATATTTAAAGAAAGAGACAGGAAAGTATATCCATTATAAGCTTTTTCTTTTTTTCTTCTTTTTTAGAATTTAAGCTTATGAGTTTATCTACGCCCACTATATTTATAATTACAATTTGATATCTGCATACAAAAGCTATGTAAAAATTCATTTCTCCCAAATATACAAATTTTCTTTTTGAATAGTTTAAAACATTTTGATCACAGATTTCAACAGAGTTTTAGGCTGAAAAATATTACCAATCTAGCAATATCACTTAACACTGTTTGCAAAACATAAATCTTCCAATGACTGTAAATCTTTTCTGTAGCATTTTTCTGATCCTCAGGGCATGAAAACAGGATAGAAAGAAAGGTGTTTTCTCTGTGCAAAGCAGGAGAACTAATTTGGCTCTGATTAAATTAAAGATGCCAAGTCCGTAAGGAAGAATCAAAAGAAAGAAATGGTATAAAGTCACATCAACTTCTTCATGCCCTGATCATTTCTGTGTCAATGCATGTGTGAAATGTCTTCTTCTCACATTGTGCTCCATAATTTACACGAGGACAATCTGCATCCTGATGAGGACAGATTGATATTTGATTGTCTTGTGCATAAGGTGGGTCAGCTTTAACTGTGCAACAGAAAGCCACAAACAGCATTTTACCTGCACGATATTGCTCTTGAAGGCGGCATTAGTAAATGTGGAAACACACTAGAAATGCACACGTTTTGCATTTGCAAACATTTATACAGCACAGTAAAAATTCTGTGATAAGGCCAAACCTTTTTTCCCCCTAGTCTGTTTTTTTTTTTGTGTGTGTTTTAATGTATTTTTTTAAAGAGTAAAGTACAATGTTTCAATTGTAAAAAATACACACTGGGCAAATCCTTACTTGGATAATAAATATCTACATCACAGTACAATAAAATTTCTCTATAAAATTTAAATATGGATTACCATCTATCACTATCGAAAGAAACACTATGCTAATATTTCCATATTATTAAAATAACAGGAAAAATTACAAGCTTATTTTAGAACCTGATGCCATGGCCATTGGAGAGGGCAAAGAGATTCAAATGTTTGTCCTTACTCTCCTTTTGAGGAGGACTGTGACTTGGTTAGTCACTTAAGTTCATGAAAAAGGTTTAGCCTTACAAACGCTGGCTACATTTCAAAAACCGTAAGACCGACTTCATAATTTAGGACTCATGCAGCAAAAGGTCAATATGACACGGATAGGTTAGAGTTCCATAGGATAAAAATGTATCACTGACATGACATGCTTTGAGGGTGCTCAGCAATTCCATGGAGGCTGAGTCAGGGTGCAGGACTTAGTGTTGGGGGACCAAGGCTTGTACACCTGTTTGCAAGGAGCAGTGAGGATGGAGAATGGCGTTGCTGGAGCAGAGCCGGGCCTGGCAGTCCTCCTGACGGCTGCAGCGCAGGCTGAGGTGGTGTCCCTTGGGGAACAAGTGAGGGGCATCGCTGGGCTGAGCATTACCACGTCAAGCACGTCATCGAGGACTGAAGCTCACTGGACTAGAAGCTCTGAGGTGGCATGTGGTGTTTTGAGCAGAATCATGAAGGAAATCGCTTACTGTTTTCACTGTTTTTGGAAGAACTGCATGTCTAAGTTGGAGAGCAAAGTACACTTGAAGGTTTATACACACGCACACACACTGGTACGTAAGAGCACATGGTGTATGCACCCACCCCTTCCAATCCCTAAGAGGGAGAGATTTATAATTAAGAACCCCTGTAGGTATGTTCTCTACTGGAATGTCTCCCGATGGGCGGGGAGGTGTGAAGATTGTTTCCATCAGGTCCATGCTCGATTTGGATGTCTGGACAGTGTAAGAAAAAAGATTAAAAAGAAAATCAGGAGCAAATCCCTCACCATCAAGTTTTACAGATGGAATCTTGAGATACACTCAGTACCCCTGTCAGTTTCACATGGAATGAGGTTAGTTGCTGTCATCACTAGGGGCGTGATCCTTCGAGTCCTTAAAGCTTTGCCTTTGAACCCGAGGCACTCTGAGGCTGGTTCTATCAGCATAAGGTGTTCACCCTTCAACACACTTCGAGAGCAGTGCTTTGGCTCTGCAAGGCAATCATTTAAGGAGCCAAGGATCAGACACTCCTTTGCCTGGATGCCTAGATGGCTATTGGTGTAAGTTACCATTTGGCCAATGCCCAGTTGTAGTCAGCGCCCCCAAAGCTTTCTGACCTGGACCCCGCCTGCTTGTCTTCCTCTCATTCCTTTAGGAAGGAAAACTTGCCCCATGTGGAGAAACGCCTCAAATCCCCTTGAGCTAGAGATGGCTGAGTGTTCATCTTTCAGAGAGTGCTCCCCGAGGTGAGGCAACAGAGGGGCCGCAGTGCTCACAGAGCAAAGAAGTAAGGAGACTGGCTGGGGACTGTGTGGAGAGAACAAAACCCAAAACAGCTGTCTGTAGACACTGCCAAGTAGGTAATATGCTTAGGAATTTCATGATTATATTTTTATTCTTTTCATCTACTTCCTATCTCTCATTAACATGTTCCATAGTGAAATTCTTGTTTCCTTTTCCCAGAAGCCAGTATAATTGCTTTAGAACATCACCTCCCACCCCAATTATTTCCAATAATTTCTGGTATTTTCAGTGCTGTTCCCTTCCTTCTCCCAAGGGCACACTGCTTCCTCTAAATAGTTGACTGGAATTGTATCAAATTCTTATTTTGAATCAGTATCAAATATACAGTCCTTCACTGCTAATGGGCTATACTTTTTGTAATCAAGCTAGAAATCTGAATATGAAAGGAACCATCCAAAAGAACCCAGTCTTCCCCCCAATTTATACAGTGTTGAGGGTGAGGATTTTGGAGATATTGATTTGCTCATTAGATAAGAAAACCAAGCCCCGAGATCTGGAATCTACCAGCCAATGGAGGACACACTGGACCTCAGGTGGCCTGACTTCTAGTCCAGTTATGCTCCACAAACCTAAAATGAAATTAGTCAACTTGGTTTTCACAGTGACTTTCATTCTTTTGTTTTTAGGTAAATCTCAGTGATATGGCTTATTTTCCCCAATATTTCTAGGATAAGGCAGTAAAAGGCAGGCAAAGGAATAGTTTATATCTACTATGCCAGCGAGGAATGAGGTACATTCAATTGCATGGGCACATTCTTTGCCCATGTTCTGAAGCTGAAGTGATGAGGTGTCACCACTGGTTTTTTGGGACAGTTCCTCCATGCTGGTTGGTAGGGGGTAGGGTGGCAGATTGGGCAGGGAAGGCAAGGGAACATTCCCTCGAGTGGTCTGCAGGAGTTTTCTGCTAAGGGTCTGTCAGGGGAAAGCTGAAGGGACAGGTGGATCAGCAGCGGGACTGGTGGTGTTTAGAGAGAGTCAAGCTCTGTGGTGCCTCAGAGTCAGAGGGAAAGGGGAACTAGAAAATGTGTGTGAACAAAGCAAAGCGCTGGAGGATCTACGACCAGAAGGAAGGGTCCTCAAGCAACCAGTACACAAATGCGGGCTGTCAACTCAGAATGAAAGCACACAACTCTTGCCTCAGAATTCCTCCAAATAAAACCCAAATTTCAGCTTGTTCCTCTCTCCTTGATTAGAAGATACGATCCACAGGGAAATCTGTTGTTAGCTCAGCAAGGATACAGCCAGGAGGGATAACTTCAGGAGCTTGGAGATGATAGGTCAGATGCCATTGAAAGGTGAAGACACTGTGTAAATAGGTTTGATTTCTGTGGGAAGGTTTCTGTGAGCCAAAACTGTAAAGAAGCCTTCTTACCTCATGGTAATACTACGTGAATTTTTGGAAACTGCAGAGTCACTAACATTGGTGAAGCCTTCTCATTTCTTTGGGGTGACTCAAGAAGATTATTTTTCTGGTGGCCTCAATCAGTCAGATACCTGTACATCTTTGCGTTAAACCCTTGTATCGCTGGAATTAAATCAAAAGGTTATAAAATGATATTGAATGGCTAGCTGATTTTTTAGGACATGTGTTCCTGCGCATTCCAAGTGGACCTGCTAGGAGAGAACAAGGGCCAAAAACAGATGGGTAGATGAAAATTTGTTCAAATCTTTCCCTAAAACACTGAAAATCACATCTAGGCAAAGGTTGGTGTGTGCTCTGCTAACTGGCACCCTGGAAAAATCAGATTGGATCAAGATGACGGTATGATCTTGGCTTTAAGGCTTCCTTAGTCTTCTGTGTGCCATTTCACTTGCTCGAGTCTTGATCAGGGATAGGTGGGAGCTGGTGATGGCTTGATGCTGGTGAAGTAATGATTATCTCTTGCCCCACCTCCACAACTGTAAAACCTTCAAAGCATTCACATCAAAGGACTGGGGAACAAAATGCAATAGTTACAAGTACCCGCATTCAAGGGGCAATTTCATCCATGTCTTTGCCAAGGACACCTCCCTTTACCCCCAAACGAGCGCTCCCAACACAAAGAGACAAAGAAACAAACACAAAAGAGCTAGGCAATGGAATGAAATGACACCCAGTAGTGCTGTAGGAATTATGAGAATGCATCCAGTCAGTCTAATCCTCAAACACTTCCAAGAACAAAGGGGGAAAGAGTTCTGTAGGGCATTCCACCTTCATGTGCAGGAAGCGGCTGGCATGGCAGGCGCCGATCATCCTCAGATCTGTCACCTTCATCAGGAGTTTTGGCCAAAAGTGTGTCACGTGATGTTTTCGGTAATTGATATAGTGTTCAAAAGCCAGCAGGAAACTATCTTGGTATTTCTCTATTCTCTCAACACAGGCAAGCCCTGGGCGATCTGGGAGAAAGGAAGAAGAAGGATGTTAATTCGCAGGTGGAAAGGAGAATGCTTGCTTGGTCCAATCCAGTCCTTCAGTGGGATGCAGGCAGACATGGGGCATTTTCACCTCCTAGGAGTGAGCATGCATTTGTGTGAATTCTAGGGTACCAGGGGCCAAGGGACAGGGAGGGGAGTGGCAGTGCTTTGATCAGATAAATACTTGTAGTGCAGGCAAATCACCGCCATAGATGTGAAAGGGAATGCCCGCTTTCCAGTGTAACAGCAGATTAGGGAAAATACGATGAGTTTCCTCTGCCTGGAAGAGGAGAGGAGAGGACAAACATGAACACACAGAGATGGGGAGATGCAAGAAGAGACTAGGGCATCGTTTTTGCAGGCTGAAGGGGTGCGGCGAAGGAATGTGGGACTGGAAGGGATCTCCTTGAAGACAAAGAAACACAACATCTAAGCTGTTTTCGGGGCTCCAGTGACACAGTCGTTCCCTTCCTTTATTCAACGGTCCCTACCTATCCATGCTGGATATGCTCTAAGATCTCCCCGGATGCCTAGAACTGCAGGTAGTCCTGAGTCTTAGCACCACAGCTGCCCTGCCCGTGGGGGAGACTGGTCCTAGACCTCTGCAGATATAAAGATCTAAGGATGCTCAAGTTCCTCATTACAAAATGGCATGGTATCTACACATAACCTAGGCACATCTACCCATAGCCTTTAATCACCTGAGATTATCATACCTAATGAAATGTATATGCTATGTAAATAGTTGTTATATTCTATTGCTTGGGGATTAATGACAAGAAAAAAGTGTGTATATATTCAGTATAGACACGTATCCCCCCAACTAGTTTCAATCTGAGGGTGGATGGTCTGCAGATACAGAACCGGAGGACACGCAAACACACCTCTGACAAAGTTAAATTTGTAAGCTAGGCTCAGTAAGAGATTAGCAATAATAATGATAGAGAACAATTGTAACAAGTATACTTCAAGAAAAGCTATGAATGTGTTTTCTCTCCCTCTCAAGATGTCTTTGCGTATTTTCACCTTTTCACTTAAAGGAAGCACTTTTTGGTTTCCTTTTAGCATATCCAAGTTGCCTGTTACCACTCTTGTGCTTTGGGGCTGTTGTGGTTTATATCTAGATGTCCCCTACGAGCCGCGTGTACTCATAGGTGGGGCTTCTGGAAGGTGACTGTAGCTGTCACTGAGGACGTGGCCTGGAAAGGTGTATCCCCCTTCCTTTTCTTGCTTCTCTTTCTGCTTCCAGGCTGTCATGAAGCGAGCAGCTTTCCTCAGCCTTGGCTCTTCCCCCACACTGCCAGCCACCGAAGGACTGAAACTTCTGAACTGTGAGCCCAAGGAAACCATTCTTCCTTTAAGTTTTTGATTGTCAAGTATTTTGTACCAGTGATGAGGAAAGCACCTAAAATAGGGTAAATGTGCACCCCAGAGACCAGTTACTATAGAGCTCTGCTTCCTCTGAAAGGAGGGAGCAAAGCTAAAGCTCACACATTACTCTAAGTCTAAACAAACTATATGGGTTCTGGAATCCTCTATTAGGCTCAAATGACAAGTTATGCATTTTAATATTATTTTCTTTCACATGTGGCAGTGTTGCTCTGTGGATCTAGTCACTCCCTCTGTCTCCCTCTTCTGTTTTTTCTTTTTGAGTGTGTAAGAATTCTTTCCAGCTGGGCATGGTGGCTTAAGCCTGTAATGCCAGCACTCAGGAGGCTGAGGAATGAGAACTGCCACGAGTTCAAGGCCAGGCTGAACTACATAGCGAGACACTATCTCAAAATCCTCTCCAGCATCCTTCAACTTTTGATTCAAGAAGAAAATCTACATAATACTGCTTTGGATGTCTCTCTTCAAAGAGAAAACATAGCCTGGGCTTTGTGGCACCAAAACTCTCTCCTTTGATGAGAGATAAAAGTAAGATGGTCATATAAAAGGTACAGAAAGAAATGACATTAATGATGCTCAAATCATACTAAAAAGTTATGGAGAGGGAAACATTTTAAAAACCAAAGACTTTTTAAAAAGTTCTTAAGGCTAAAGTTCTTGAAGAAATGTCTTTGGGATCTTTCCATTTTTGCTGCCTGTATCTCTGCAGCGTCATGGAACCCAGCAAGGGTACTCTTTTGTTTGAAAGAGAAAAAAGATAAACATAACAATGAAACTGAGTTTCAAAATAGGTCAGTAGGACAGTTACAATAGTGGCTACATTGTGTATGGCGTCTTCCTAGTAGTTATTCAGAGTAGAAGATATAGGTGTGATATCTTGTCTATACAATATTAGCAAAAAACTTTCTTTTCAATGAACAAAGAGAAACTAGCTGTATAACTATTTTAACTAGCTTGTGTATACATATATGTTTTCCTTTCTTCATTTCCCCTTTCCTCCATCACAGTTTGTCTTTTCTTTTGAATAGTTTCTTCCCAATTCACGATGTCTATTGTACATTTGGGGTGTTATTTACTTGTTCATTTTCTCACACTAGTGAGACAATATGATGTTTACACATGTGGATCTGATTTATTTCACTTATGAATACGGTCTTGAGTTGCATCCATTTACCTGCAAAAGACTCCATTTTATCCTTCTTTATGGCTGAGTAGTACTCCATTATATAAAAAAAAATCACATTTTTTTCTTTTTATCCATTTCTCAGTTGATGGGCATCTGGGTTGTTTTCCAAGATTTAGCTGTAATAGCACCCTTGCAAGAGCCTTTGTGTAACTGAAATACCAAATATACTCTGGGGCTTGGAAGACAAGGAAGGAGGAACTGGAGCATTGAACTGCGATGTGTAGCTATTGTTTGCCAACTGTACAGCATCTGATATTTTTGCTGGATCTGGCAGTATTATTGAAAAGGACCCACATTACTAGGATGGGGAACATTTTCACATTGTAAAATATGTCACGAAGCTGTCAAGCAGCGCGAGTCTCACAAAAGCAGGTTTGAGAAGAAGCAGTTAGGGGCCTGTGCTTGGCACTACACTCCCCGTGCTTGCCATCACCGCCTGCTCCCCTCAGCACGTACCTCCCTCAGGTCATTTATTTAATCCTCTGCCTCACTACAGGCCAGCAGCACTCAGGAACAAAAGCCCGTTTGTCATAAACAGAAGATAATCACAAAAACTGATGCATGACAAAACCCTTATTAAGTAATAAAAACCCTTTTACTAAAACAAAAGGTTCTTGAGAAGATTTTGTGCCTAAGATCACTATCGGTGTTAGAAAGGGAGGGGGGCGAGTACAGCAGAGGAGTGAGGGTCAGAGTAGCACCGCACCTACTCCCCCTTGCCCTATTGAAGAGACACAACCAGAAAGAAACTGCAGAAGAAATCGCTCTCTCTGTGTGATTTCGTGTTATTTAAAGCTGTCTTGGTCCATTAAAATCTCAGCTAAAAAGTTACCTTGAGTACTTCCAGGAATATAATTCCCACATACGTACTTCAGTTCTTTTATTTTAAAGGTCACGGAAGCGCGTAAAGGCTAGGTCTTGCGGGGAGACTTAAGATAGGTTCTAAGTCTTATTTCTTCAAGAGCAGCATCGTCCACTGCCGGGCTGAGGGCTGTGGTTGCTCCCTGGCTGTACCGCAGGCTGCCTCAGCTCTTGAGGCTGCTGCACTTTCCTGTCACGTGAACTTTCCTCACGTGGCCACCTGCCTCACGGAACCAGAAAGATGAGTCTGTGTAGCGAGTCTGCTAGCAACACTCTTACGCTGCATAACGCAGTCACCGGAAGTGGCATCTGAGTCACAGTATTCTATTGGTTAAAAGCAAATTCCAAGTTCTATAAATACATAAGGGGAGGGAATTACACAATGGTGTGACCACAGGGCTCCTACAGTCTGTCTGCCACAGTCTGTAGAGGGCTTATTATGTTACTTCATTTATTTATATTTGAAATTTTCCACAGTAAAAATAATTCCTTTTTCAAACATATCTAAACTTCCTGTAAGAAGTAAACTTCTAAGTCAACCTAAAAATAAAGAAGGAATTCTATTGAGTCAACTAGAAATTATCAACTGCATAAAAGATTCTCTCTCTTTTTTTTTTGGTACCTGGAATCAAACTCATGACCTCAGGCTTGCCAGGCAAGGACTTATGCCACTGAACTATATCCCTGGCCCAAGGATTCTCAGTATACTTGTGAGAGATATTTTACCCACATATGCAGCCATTCTCCCAATAAACATTTTTGGAATTCTACTGAATGGTAGCTCGGGTGCTAGGTGTACAGTTAGATGCATCTCTGTCTTCAAAAGAGAAACAGCACAGAGGAAGATGTGGGTGAACTAAGGATGGAGTTACAGACGAGTGCTGGAGCCCTGCTCAGAAAAGGCAGAGGATGGCTCTCAAAGGCTAGCAATCTCTGCAGAAAACTATCAGCATGCTGTCTCTCTTTCACTCACCGGAGCCAGAGGTCCTGAGAGTGAGCTATGGTGGGCTACACAGGGCTGCACATTCTTTGCTGTCACAGGACTCCCAACCAGAGGTGGATTGTTGGGTCAGGGCTGGTACTAGGGCTGGTATGATACCGTGTGACTACAGAACAGGACCTGCAACTTCTGCTTTTGTGTGCTTGGGACTCTCCTTGCAGGAAGTCTAAGCACCTTGCATGTGGGAGGCCATGAAGAGAGAGGTCTGGAGTTGTGTTGGATGTCTCAGCCATCTTGGATGTTTTAAGGCTGTAAATTTTGGGCTGTTGCACTACGTAGCAATAGATACCTGCAACTCAAGTTGTAGCTGAACCATAAGCAAATTCTAGCTCTCACACATGGTTCCACCACAGAACTTTTCAGAAAGCTGTAGTCACTCCTGTCCATATTTTTTGTACACATAAAAGCAGGAGGAGACAGGGTTGGCCAAATACTTTGGAACAGGCCGAGTGATTCCTAGTGAAGGTGTGTCATTCGATGGTGTCTTTCAGATAGCTCCTTGGGTTTCTTCCCACCACTCTGGGAAACGGCAGGGAGCCTCAGACACCTGTATTCTTCCGTTCCCAGCCCATGGGTGAACCCCTGTCTTCTCAGTGAAGGACAGTAAAGCTAAAGGGAGACTGAAAACCCAGCAAGCGACTCGAATCAGCACCAGACAACCAAGAGCTCTTCTCCCATCCATAACGAATCTAGGCCCACTCACCTGAAGACATTAGCAGGACAGCCTGAAGCAGGGCGACTTCTGTGTCATCCAGGTTGAAAGACGACAGAGACATGCCCAGGTCAAAGATGGCATCTGACACAACCCCAAGACCCCCATTTTTCAGCTGGCCCCGTGTCACTGCCATTTCCCCATTCAAGGTTAAAGTCTCACTTTCTGGGTCATAGCGCACAGCAGCTCGAAGGGACATGATCTCCATGCAGCAGCCTTTGAGGAGGATTATCTGGTCTTCACATGGCAGCTGAAAAGAAGCAGCCCGCATCAGCAAAGAGCAGGAGAACAAATGCCAGTCAGGAACAACAGGCAGTGTCTTAAAAGCAACGGGACCTCTGTGACCAACATTTGCCCTGCATTCTTTGAGCTCATGGTTGTCCCTTTTTACCTGGTGGCAGACCTTCTACAGGTAGTTTTTTTTTTTTTTTTTTTTTTTTTAAGACCAGGTTTCTCTCTGTAGTCCAGCTGGCCTCGAACTTATTATGTAGCCCAGGTTGGCCTCAAACTCATGGCAATCCTCCTGCCTCAGCCTCCCAAGTACTGGAATTACAGGCATGTGCCACTATATCCAGCTACAAGTAGTTTTCATACACCAAGTTGGTGGTAATCTTCAGCAATTTTGATCTCAGTAGTTTGTCTCTTTTATGACAGATATACGTCTTGAACTAGTATTATAGTCTTATGTGGCACTTTATAATAACTCCTTAGGTTGGGGCTTTAAATTATAATTGTACCTAATAACTGGGAGCAGAGTTTCTGCTAAATTCACCATTTTTTTGGGGGGTGGTCTTGTTTCTCTGATTGTTAGGAGCAGACTCCATGGTTTAACTCACAACTGGGCCTCTTAAAACAGTTAACTCCTTGAGTCTCACCAAAGCCGGAGAATTAGGAAGTTGCTGACAGATGTATGTCACCTACAAGGCCCACGGATGGAAAAGCTTGGCTGACACACAGAGACCAGAATTCAGACTTCGTGGCTTCTGAGGTTATGTTCCGCTCAGTAACTTGGACACCAGAATTGCTCAATACACTGTATCTTTTTGCTAGTGTTGTAATTTCATTTGAAGATCATTTGTTTACCCTGTAATTTAGGATTTGTGATAGTGGGGTAACATTAATAATAAACTTTAGTTTGCTCAGCAAAAATAGAAAGTTAATTTCCAGAAGGGGAGAAAGTTTCAGTGCTGTTATCAGATTCATTTGAAAGGGTCTGAGTTAATAAGAATTTTTGATGAATTAGGCATTATGCCAAGATTTACATTCATTACCTTGTTTAATGTTTACAGTAATGCAGTGGGGTAAATACTTTATTTCTAATTTCATTCAGAGATGTGAAACCCAGACACTGACAGGGGGAGTTAATGCTGCAGGTCACAGGAATGTTTTGAGGCTGAGGCTGGGATTTGAAGCTATCAAAATCCAATGCCAAGACAAGAAGCAAGCACACCCTTTTGAAGTGCCAGAGATGAATAAATTTCCATAAACAATGAATATGTAAATTACACATAATATGTACCTCTTCATTAAAGCTGCTACAAATATTTTTTGGGACATGCTCTTAGCAATACTTCATTAATCCAGTATAGCCATTGGGGTATATCATGCATAGCTACAAGTTCCATAGGATGAACGTGATCATTATGTATATCTAAACTGTGCCAATAAACTTAATAATAAAAAATTCAATACAGGTATTGTATAAAAGTGAAAGTAGGGCAGGGGATATAACTTAGTGGCACAATGCCTGCCTGGCAAGCGCTGAGGCCCTATGATCGATTCCCAGTACATCTGTCACAAAGTATGCAGATTTGGGCAGGCCCCACCTTTGAAGTTGTTTTCTTAGGAATGAAGTAAAGGATTTCTTCTTAAAACCTACTAACTATTGCTGATTAGTTCAAACTTGAATGAAAGCTGAGTAAGTGTTTGCAAAAGATGATCAATAGCTTAAAAGCTGGGTCAGACACCATTTCCTTTAAGAGGGGTGTGTAGCATCCTGGTGAGCTTTAATACATGGGCACATAATCTCTTAGGCCCCTGCTGCAGTGCTTTCATTGTGAGAATGTTTCAAGAGGGCTTGACAGGCAGAGACATGGGGGTCCTCCCACAGAGTCTTTCACCTCCTTAGGAGAGCATCACTCAGGTTGACTGGCAAAGACCATGGGATATTCCAGGGGTGGTGCTTATGTTTGGTTTTGGCAGCTTTGCTGGCAATGATTTTAGATTCTGTGAAGTCCTGGTGTCACACCAGCTTTGTTTTGGGTTAGCAGGGATCTTGGCAGAATAATTACCATGACACACTTTGAATACCAGATATGTCAAACTGCCTCTGGCAAGAGAGGCCTGGCTCCAGGACCACCTGGGATCTGCAGGCCGCTCAGTGGGTAGCTACCTCGAGGCCCTATAAAGTCCCTTACCCTTTTTGGGTTTAGAAAAGAGTGTAACAGGCTGGCAGGTGCCTGGTGGCCTTCAACACTGGAAACATATGCATCTCTGCCTTAAAAGTGCCACCCTCCTCTTTTTTCTAAGCAAAATATCATGTTTGAAAGAGAGATGGAACCTTGCCCAAGGAAGCAGGCTAATATTTCTAAGGGAAACTTGGAGAGAGAGAAGCCATGCTTGGAAAGTTCCTTGTTGACCCCTCATCCACGGTGCAGATGTAGGAATGTAGTGTGTTTATTACTGGGGATGGAGACGGCGTTTCCTCCTTCACCCCCTCTTTCTCCTCTTCCTTTTCTTTAGCTGAAATATCCTCTAGTGGTTGGTTTTACATCTTTAAAGATATATGTGGTGGGCATTGGAAGGGTGCTTGCTGTGTAACTGTCAGGCTTGCTTGAAGCAGTGAACTCATGAGAGTTCCTCTTCAGCTACCAAAATGGGAGCTGAGAGGCCCAGCGAGAGAGAGAGAGAGAGAGAGAGAGAGACAGAGACACAGAGACAGAGAGACACAGAGACACAGAGACACAGAGAGAGAGAGAGAGAGAAAGGGAGAGAGAGAGGGAGGGAGAGAGAGAGAGAGAGAGAAAGAACCTGGAAAGGCCCAGGCAAACAAAGCCTACCTGACAAAAAACAAAGGTAACTCTCAGAGTTAGCAAGAAGGGAAACAAGAACTTGCAGAACTCATAATTTAGGTTGTTCTCTCACTAGTTCAGCAATTCACTCCCAATCTTTGACTAATAAGCTACAGTCACCATTCTGGCAACTGTGGTCTGCTCACATCAGTAATTCCTAAAGATAAGTCCTAGACAGGGAATTTAAGGATCAAGTTGATAGATAGATGATATATAGATCGATAGACAGACAGATAAACAATAGATAGTATTTTAAGACTTTTAATATACATTGTGGAATTACCCCAAAAGAAGAGAGCAGGTTGAGAACAACATAAATTATTGCAGCACCACTTTTTGGAATACTATATGGTCATTAAAAGTCATTTTGTGAAAGGTCACTTGAATGATAATCCCACCATTGAGGGTAAAGTTGGGTGCAATGGCTGCTGGTAATATTCTTTTCCTGGATCTTGATGCTGATTGTAGGGATGAGTTCATGAGCTGCATGCTTATGATAGGGGTGATGAAAATATACAGCAAATATTTAAATAAAAGTTATTACAATAAAAGACACATGGGCATGAATTCCCTCAAGATACTCCCCCTCACTTTGGGTGCACTTATCCCATTGTTCTTGCCACTTTCTGAAGCAGTTCTGCAATCCTCTTTCATGAGTACCTTTATGAGATGTGATAAAAATATGGTGAATGCTGCTGCTGCGTGCCATCTAGCAGCAAGGCAGCATGTGAAAACAGTATGGGGTGTCCTCATCTACCTCATTCGCCGGATCGGGCACCATGTGATTTCTGGCTGTTTCACACAGTCAAAATGAACATGAAAGGTAAACAAACATTTTGAATTAATTCAGGACACAGAGGCAGCCAGAACAGCACAGCTAAAGATACTCACGGAAGAAGGATTCCTGGACTGCTTCAGAAAGTGGCAATATAAGTACGTTCAAAGTGATGAGAAGTATTTTGAGGGGGATTAATAGCAATGTATTTTTTACTGTAATGCATTAAAAAATTAAGCATTCACTGTACTTTTTGCTCACATCTCATCTATTTAAAAAAGACCAAAGTAGGCTCCAAATTGCTGGTCGTGGTATTGTGAATCATTACTTGTATTTTGTTATGTTGTATAAATTTTCAGTGAATATGTGCTGTTTTTGTAATATCCTCCAAAAAGTTTATAAAACACTTTAAAAAAGATTTCAGAGGCATACAGAGCCCCACACTGAATACAGATAATAGTCAAGACTCCCTTTTCAGAACTCTCTGACCCTTCCAGGTGGCCATGAACCCCTTGCAGGTTGCGGGTCCTACCGCAACAGTATGGGCTGAATGTTTCTGTCCCTCCAAAAACCCCTGTGTTGCAGCCTAATCCCTGATGTGATGGTTCTGGAGATACAGGCTCTGGGACGTGAGAAGGTCATAAGGGCAGGGCCTTTGTGAACGGGATCTGTGTCTTCATAGAGGAGACCCCAGAGAGCTCCTGCCTGCTGTTCACCATGAGAAGACACAGTATGAAAATAGTCAGTGAACAAGGAGGCAGACCCTCAGCAGATGGAATCTTCTGGCATCTTGATCATGTACTTCTAGAATTATGAGAACTTTATGTGGTTTATAAGCCACACACTCTTGTGGTATTTTGTTATAGCAGCCTGAACCAACTAAGGTACCTAACTCCCAGGGCAGTGAAGCTGGGACCAGAGGGAGGCAAATGCTCTCCCTTTCCCTCTTCCTCTCCTTCTCCCTCTCCCTCTCCCTCTCCCTGTCCTTCTCCCTCTCTTTCCCATATCCCCCTTTCCCCTCCCTCCTCTGGCCCTCCCCCTTGTGCTGTCTCTCAGTTAGGCTTGGGTTTCATATACTAACGTCCAAAAGCCACTGTCCTGTTCTTGTGGAGGAGGCTCAGAAATAGGCAATAAGAAGTGTCCCCTTCAATGTCTGAGGTTGCTCTGAATCCAGCTGTGTTCCTGTTATCGTAAACTCCAGCGAATAGATGAGCTGGAAGCCAAGGGAGCGTGGAGCCATTTCAGCTGAAGAAACCCAGCTTCTCTCGAGCTGAGAGTATAACCACTCGTCACTCAGGTAGCTTATGGAAAAGGCTCATAGCAGTGTGTGACCCTCTCCCCATTGTGTCTTCCCGGGGTGCCCTTGAAGGTATGAAGAGCAACAGATTGGCACCTGAGGGAGTTTTTCGAAGGGAAAAGTTCTCCAGAAAACATAATCAACACCACTTGATTTGAAAAAGGACAGTTAGAGGCAGGTTGAGAATATCATAGAGGAAATAACAGCAGTACTAGCAGCTAACATTCATGGAATACTATGACCTAGGCACTGTCCCAGCACTTTTTATAGATTGTCCCATTTGAACCTCCAACAGCTCAAGACACCATTACAATTCCCATTTTAAAGATGAGATCACTGAGGATTAAGGACATTAAGTATCTTGTTTGGGATTCTCACCCACACAGCGGACTGCAGAGCCCATGCCTTCAGCTGCCACATGATAGGACTGCTAAGTGTGGCAGGAAATGTGCGCAAGGAAATATCTGTGTGAGCTGTGGTGGCTGAGCTCTGTACATTGTACTGGAGCTGGGGCAAGAAAGAGTGAGTTGTTAAGATAGAAGATTTGAGGTGATGATACAGCCCTGCTCTGTGAGGATTACCAGACTTTATTCTTAAAGATTAAGAAAACTGTACAGCCTTTTTGCTGGGATATGTTGTGGAAAGAATATAGACCTAGGTTCAAACCATGGCACCACATTTGGATAAATCAACTTAATCTCTCCAATGGTAACTTGCCCCATCTGTAAAATGGGATTAATAAAATGTGCCCTGTAGGTCTGCCATAGGGATTGGATTTAATGCTAACACACTCAAAAATGGTTATTAGGATTTTATTGCCTGAGGCCTGGAGTCTGAGACGGAAGAGCCTCTCCGGGCCTCCCGGGGGCAGGTTAGTGAGTGGTGGCAGGGGAGAGCAGGTGGGGACACACGCATGAGATGAAGTATGCCTGTGCTGTACTGACACTGCTTTCAGATGACTAAGTCCTGCTAGTTAATAGTAAATTATAAACAACACCCAGTACTCCTGGAAATGGATGGAACATTAATGAAAAATAATGCAGAAGGAAAAACAGTACGCTCACCTCACAAAACATAGGCAACTTTTTGGCAAAATCCACCACTCTGGTGATTGCTGGTGTGATGATTTTTGTAAAATGGCTGAAGGCTTCCAAGTCAACCTTGCCGCCTTCCGGAGCGTTGACTATCGGTGCTTGTCCAATATCTTCCGGCTGAGGAGGAGAAACACAGATTTAAGTGAAGAAGCTGAAGGGCGTTCGATTTACCATCATTCTCCCGTGGCAGAAAATCTCTTCGGAGATGACATCTGCTGAAGTTTTCCATTTTCACCTTGTTCATTAACAAACTGTATGGCTTTCACCTCGCTTACATCATTTATCTCTCTGAGTAGGGAAGTACGTTTTGGTTGTTGCTTTATAGGCCCCAAGGATATTGTTCACAGGATTGGCCTGGGTGCGGGGAGAGGAAGGGAGAAGGAATTTGCGTTCTGCTTCTGTGCAGGTGAAGGGTGTCCCCTCAGGCAGGTGACTTCACAGGTGATGGCTGCGGTGCGGCATTTTCAGCACTGCATTCCGGCGAGTGTGAGGGTGAAGTGGGCACAGTGTGGGCAGCGACAGGGACACCTAGCAAACAGCACCTGCGGATGCTTTCTGGCTTCTGACCTAGCTGCAGGGACTCAAGTTTGAGGTGGCCTCAGGTGGCACTGAGGGGGATGATCTTGAGACTTCCTGTAGCGAATTGAGCTGGGCAAATGTGGCCAGTCCTAGGGCAGAGATGGAAATACACTAGTGCTCACCTCCGGGGGCATTCTCTGCTGTTTGCTTGCTCAGGAACCACCCATGGCCTTGCTGCCCAAGAAGTGGTGCGGCAGCCAGGGTGTTGCCTGGGACACAGGCCCCTCCCTCCCCAGACCCGAGCTGCAGAAGCAGCATTTGACCAGGGCCCCAGGTGACTTGTGTGTACCCTGGCTTCCCAGGTCCCCAGAGCCATCCAACTCCTAGCCTCACATTCTGTGCTGTCAGCCTCAGTGTCCCGCTTGCTGTCACCTTGTGCTCGCTGTGGGCAGCAGTCCTCTCTAACGCCCTCTCATCTCTGTGATACTCATAACCATTTATTCTGTGGCCTACAAGTGAGTCAGCTCCTGCACACACTGCTCTTTCTCAGGTAATCCCCACACAAGACGTGGTTCATAGATCAGCAAAGCAGAGGTCAGGCTGAGGACCAGCATCTGGAGGAGCTCCAGCCTGGGAGGTGGGTGGCCCTGACTCTACCCAGCAGCCTTCGCAGGAGCCCCATGTCCCACCCCCACCGCAGGGCTTTCGCTCCCTGAACACGTTCTGAGACCAGGAAGTAGACTGCTACTCCTCCTAGTATTCCCCTGCCAGCCTCTCCAGCTGTTGTCCAGGAAGTGTGACTGTCACCAAGGAGGTCACAGACTCCGGGCCTGCTTGATGGTGGTCACCTTTGCCTAGGGCCACTGCGAATAGACATGAACAAAGCCTGGTCTTTTTTAGGCACCCAGGGGATGAAGGTGGGGAGGGTGAGCAGGGGGAACAGGGAGGAGGAACTGACACGGAGTGAATTGAGCAGGACAGAACCCCTCCCAAGCAGAGTAGTGAGGACGCTGCCTATGATGTCAAGATTCTAACCTGATATCTCACGGCCCCTGACTTTACTGTGCATCAGAAACCCCTGATTTTTCGGCCCCACTCCCAGTGTAGCCACCAATACCAGCTTGGAGAAGCCCAATGGGAGTGGCTCTCCCACACATCCCGTTACTGCTCGCACCTCACTTCTAGTAGAGAGAAAGCAGCAGAGAAGCCTCTAACTTGCCGGTTGACTCCCACCAGGGAAAACAGAAGCAGGTAGGCCCTTAGAGACTGCGGGAGGAATCATGAAGCCAGCCTCAGGGAGGACTTTTAAACACGCCATGTGACGTGCTACCTGCTGGTAGCATTTACCTCTTTTTGATTATCTACGGGATCTTCATAGTTTAGTGTTCCCTGGTGCAGTGACTGAGTGGGTGAAATCTAGTTTCTGTTGTGTTTTCATGGTGAATGAATGATATTTTTGGGTCACTGTAGACATGACAAACCCATGAAAGCCTCCTAGCTTTGAGCCTTGCTAGATGTAGGGAGAATGGATGGAAGAACATACATCTCCTCCTCACGCCCTCCTCCCCACGTGGACTGAGAAGTACGACTCTTCTTTCCTTGGCTGCTGTTCCTCCCAGCACCCTTCAGACCTGCTGCTGCTCTTTTTCATTTCTTCATAACTTGAGGCTCATCCCATGGCTCTTGCTTGCTTCATGAGTCTTTTAGCAAGGCCAACTGATAAAAGGGATGTGGGTGCACATTCAGAAGAGATAGCTTGTTAATATAAAACATGTATTTCATATATGTGGGAACATTTCTTAGGAATAAAAATATTTAATCCTGTGGTTTTGGCTGAATCTCAAGGTCTCCTCCGTGAATACTGATGGGTGTAATCTGTTTATATTTAAATGGTAAATTCCATGTTCTTTGAAATGTCAGTGGGTTAATGCTGACGTTAGTTAATTCCATTTAGTCTTTGGGTAGGTAGGGTATTTGAATCACTGTCTGTGACCTCTCTAAAGATTTGAAAGAAGAAATGAAATTATGGAAAGAAATATGGCAACTTAAATTAACCTCCTAGGTATAACTTCAGAAACCTTTCTGTTGAAAAATACATATTAGGATAGGAAAAATTATGTATATGTAAAATCTATGAAGTAACACAAATTTACATCAGGTATGAGAAATCATGGCTGAGTAATGCAACCTTGTTCGTGACTTTCCTACAGATTTTTCACCTTTAAGGGCAATATGCAATTAATACCTGACTACAGTAGGTATCTGACTATAGCCTCGTGTACCACCACATGGAACACAGTGTTCTTACACACAGCACGCACTTGGTTAACTCAGGTACTGACGGTACGTCTCTGATGTGTAGACTCCCCAGTGCAGACTGTGGGGAAGGCCTGACTTTGCCTCTGTGGGCCCAGCTGCCCTGGCTTGTTCATGGGGAAGCTTCCAACTCTCACTATGGCTTCCTTCCTCTTTGTCCTCAACAGACCTATGGAGTCATCCCAGAGGACTTCATGTCTCCCCAACAACTTGCTTTACATTTTTCCATTTTGCTGAATCCTCTACTTCTGTATTTCACTTCTTTCTACTCTAAGTCTTCTCCATTTTTGAAGACCCAAGTAAAAACCTTGTTTTCTAGACTTCTTTCTAGGTGACCTGTTTGAAATGATGTCTACTTGACCTGAACATGCATGGTGGCTCAAATATATCACTCCTCTGGCATTAGGCATTTATTATATCACTTTTTATTGTAGTCGTTGTATATAGGTATACACCAGTGATAAGAATTTTTTAAAAGATTGGAGGATGAGCCTTGTGTGTGTTTGGCTGCTATGTACAAGGTACTGACTCAAATGGTGGGAGACAGAATGCTTGATGATTGAGTGGATGAATAAATGATTATTCATACATTTATTCAGCCAGTATTTATTGAGCAAGTACTATGGGGCCAGATCTAGTTCTCGAATAGATACTCAATACTGAGATTACCACAATGAACAATGTACCATCAAGGAATCTGTACTGTAGTGAAGGAAGACAGACAGTAAATCAGAAAAAGACATCCATCAAAGAATTACACTTTGTGATAAGACTGGAGGTACTCTGCAGGTACCTGGAGGGAGGGTGGTCAGCTAAGGCCCCTCTGAGAAACAATGTGTGGGCTTTGACCTAAATAATGCCAAGGAGATAACCTCCCCAAAAGCCAGAGGAAGAACATTTAAGGCAGAGGGAAAAGCCAGTGCCAAGTTCCCAGAGACCCATGTGGGAAAAGCCCAGCAATGACATGAGATGAAGAAGAGAAACAAGGGCCCATCATGCTGAACCCTGTGGACTAGAGAGAGGACACGGGCTTATTCTACATGCAAATGGGGCATCCACTGACGGGCTGTGGACAGATGCATGGTGAGGTTTATGGTCATGCATGGGAAGGGATCTGCCACAGGGAAAGTGGCTGGCAGTAGCAGTAATTTGAGTATGCTGAAACGGCCGGCAGTACGGATGGACAGAAGCAGAAGAAGCTGAGGCATTGGGACTGAAGATGCACTGGATGTGGGTGAGGGACTCATGCTAACTCACCCAGGCAGGGGGCTGGAGAGGTGCAGAGAAGAGAGGAGGGGTATGTGCAGGTGTGGCATCAACATTTGCTTAGCATTTGGGGAGGCTGGTGTTGGGTCAACTAGCTTTGACTGCTGCATCAGTGTTGTTCAGGCTAAGTAAGAAATGCTGCCAGCTGACCTCTTCTCAAGTGGCTGGCTGGGTCAGAGCCAAGGATGTCGTGGCTTGACCTGGTAGCTCCTTGGCACACACAAAGTAGGGTGGGATCAGGTGGGGCTGTTTCTCTGCTTGTTCACCTGTATCTTCTTGCACCTTTCCAAGGCTGGGCAAGAAGATACGGTGATTCAATGTTCTGGGGTCTTGAGATGTGAGGTCAGGCTCACACTTTTCCTGAGGTGAGCAAGAAAGATAGCAAAGGTGGTAGTGATGATGCATATAGTAACCACATATGTGGTTGTTAGCAATATGTCAGGCACTGTTAGATCCTGCATAACTTCTACTCTTATGCTATGTAGTTAAAGACAAAAGGCACCTGAGCCTTAGAAAAGTGAAATTACTTGCTCAAGGTCACACAGTTAGAAAGCAACTGACCAAGGGCTGAATCTAGGATGTTTGGTTCCAGTGTCCATTCTCTTAACTAAAGGGCTCCCCAGCCTTCTTCTGAAGCGATGACAATGTTGGTGATAGATGCCTTGACTGCTCTTGTCCTATGACCTATTCAAACAAGGTTGGTTCACCCACCCTACCTGCTCTGTTTATGCCTCTGCTCTGAGCCCTTCTACCCTAGTTGAGAATATGGGAAATCAGACAGTGACGCTGCCGGGGAAAATTGGCAGGCTTGCTCTGATTCTAACGGTCACATTTAATATCTGGTAGAAAGTCCACACAAAGCCTCTTTTTGCTATGAACTAAGAGAGAGAATAATGAGACGAAGCTGACATCTAAGAGTAGTGTTGAAAGGCCAGACGGTTGCTGCCATGCGGTGTATGCCAAAGCGAACGACTTGCCACCCTGGGGAGGTACAGAAGTGAGCGGTCCTGGGTGGGGAGACGGCTTTCCCTGTGTGACACCGGACTCTGCTTGTTTTCTTCTCCGCCGCTGTCTCCTTGCCATCATCGCCACCATCATGCAAACTGTTGCTGGTAAAACTGGGCGTTTCTGTAGCCTCAGGTATTGGAGGAGATTGGCGAGAACTGGAAAATGACATGATCTAAATGTGTTTTGAAGTAATTTTAATGCATGACTCTGGGTTTATTATGAAAGTCTACATAGATTTGCCAAAGTTCCTCACTTGCCAAAGATGCTAATTCAGCTTTAAAACCCAGGCCCAACCACTGGTCTCTTTTTCTGGCTCGATTCCTAGTGCTCGGGTGGAAAGAGATGAAGTAGCTCCTTTGGGGGAATAAACTACTAACCCGTTCCAGGTAAATGAATATTTCTAGCTTTTATGTAATTTTTAATCTCTCAGGATATATTACTATACCATTATTATTATTATTATTAATTATTATCATTATTATTATTATTCTTTTGGTACTGGGAATCGAACTCAGGACCTTGCACTTGCCAGGCAGGTGCTGTGCCACTGAGCTATGTCCTTGGTCCTCCACTATACCATTATTAACATAATGAATATTTTCAAATTATTCTTCAAAACAAGGTGGGATATCAACACATACAAATCAATGAAATAATATGTGTAGCAGTGTTGCAAGCACAAAAGGGATCAACCACACAGGAGCTGCAAATTCTAATGTGTAAAAGCCTATCTATCCCTGGACTGTTCAGACATGGACACCATTTAGCAAAACTGTCTTTGAGTAAGGATTCTGAATGTTCTTACAGGCAGAAGATTAAAGTTTTTATTCTGAGCATAAGTACTCCACCAGAGGCATCCCTCTGCATGGAGTACCTATAAATATATAGAGTACTAGGACCCAGAGCGTGACTGTACTATCTCTAAGGATGGGCCAGTGGAACTGTATGTTCAGCTTAACATGTATATTTTGAGTTCTGTTCTGGTTATCCAGTGTTGTATAATGAACAACCCCAAAATACCACGGCTTAAAACAACAATTTAAAAATGATCTTTTAGTGTTCTAGGGTTTCAGGGGTATCTTATTTGGGGTTTAGGGGTGACTTACTTGGTGCTTCATACAGTTGCCATCAAATGGCTGTACAGGCTGGTGTCACTGGAAGACTTTTCCTCTCTTTCACGGTGCCTGGGAATCTCGTCTTCCTCATGTGGCTAGCTTTGGTTTCCTCATGGCATGGTTATCTCAAAGTACTTGGACATTTTTACCTAGTAGTTGGTTTCCACCTCCAAGTGACCCAAATGGGAACTACAAAGCTTATTTTGACCCAGGCTTAGAAATCTCTCAAGCATCTCTTCTGCCAAAATCCACTGTTTAAGGGAATCACAGAATAGCACAGATTCCAGGAGAGGAGGAACTGGCTGTGAATACAGGGAGAGCTTGGAAATGGCAGCCATCTTGAAGGACAGCTACCATGAGTTCCAGCCCCTGGGGCTTCAGGGGCTGGTGCTGAAGCACTCATACTGAATGGAATGTGGTTTCTGCACACCAGCAGTTGCTGGGCTGACACAGAGCAGAAGGCAATTGGCTGCTACACATGAAATGCACTGTAGAGACAGATGGAAGAGTGGAGGAGTTCTCATCTCTCCCTGGGGCCCTTTTGGAATACTTGCCTTGGAGAAGAAATTATTTATATTTGGATCAAGAATGACAATTTTTTGAACAGATCAACAATCTACAAAAGATATATTTTATGGCGGCTCTATGGGGAAGGGAGACTAGTATAAAACAGTTGCTCTGAACTATAGGTTTACTAAAGAAAGCTCCATTGTGAGTGGGCAACCTCATGGCCCAGGTTTAAAAAAAAACCACATCTCTGTGCCGTACTTTTTTGGTTCCTTCAGACGAATGAAAACCATCAGGAAGCTATAAGTTACAGATACCGATCTCAAGGCTGGTTCTTATTACTAGATACTGTGCTGTCTTTGCTGAGGGGATCACCAGGAATGGGGAGATTCAATATTTTCTTAGAGGTTGGCTTTCTCAGTTTTCAGTCATAGCTCAAATGTTACCTCCTTAGAGAGCTCTGTTCTGTCTACACATCGCTGTCTAGAGAAATGAAGTCTTTCTCCATTTCCAATTCACAAACACTCTGTCCTATTATAAGATTTATTGCCTTCATTGCCTTTCTACTGCCTGTATTTATCTTGTTTGTGTAAACCTTATTGTCTATTTCCCTTCTCTGGAATGTGGCTGACTTACTTCCTGGCACATAGTAGCTGTTCAATAAGTGTTTCTTAAATAAAATAGTAAGTGTTTAGAATCTGGAAAGAAGTACCTTAATGACCACTGAAGTTGGCTTAATGATTCCCTTTAGTGACTACTGGGACTAGTATTCTTTTTTTTTTTTTTTTTTTTTGAGAATAAATAAAACAAAAATGTAAAATTCTCTAGGAGAAGTCCAAGACTGGTCCCATATCTTTATCCTGTACTTAGAATTCAGCTTGAATTTTACTCCTGGGTCACTAGTTGAAATCAGAAGGCAACACCAGGCTTGGAAGTGGTGGTCAACCATTTGTGGCTGATACCATCAAGGAAATGACAGATTTAGGCTTGTGGTTAGTCAGGACTCTGTCTTTCTCTGCCCTATACATATTGAGTAACATTGATGTATTGATTGAGAATGAGTGTTTTTTCAGTTTCCTGACAGATACAGCAGTGTGAGGGTAAGGATGTAAGATGACTGTACCATAAGGCTGCCTTTGCAAGGAGCTTGTTGCTTTTTGCATTTGTGCAGGTGGTAAGCTGCATGGCATACATGATTGTCACTGTGTATGACCTGCAGGAGCTTGGAGCTTCCTAAACTTCTCTGCCTCAGTTCTTCCTTCTGTAAAGTGGAGATATCAACCATATCTACCTGTTGGGTTGGTATCAGAATTTATTGTATGGAAAACACTTAGAATAGTACCTGGCATATAGTAAGGATCATCTAAGGGTTTGCCAACATTGCTATTAATGAAGGCCATCAGCAAAGTACCGGTATTATTTCATTGTGACAATAAAAACAATTGCTTCAGGGCAGGTAGATTATATGCAAACTTTTTCTTTCCAACAATTTTTGTAAACTTGTTATATTAACAAAAAACTATTTCATTATAACACTGATGTTGAGGTACAAGAAGAATTATACTGCTGTCTCTCTCTGTTCGCATGAGGAGGTCCTCTGAAGATCCCTGGGGATACAAACGGACCTGCGGGATGTCTTATGCCAGGACTCAGCAACTACTCATAAAGGACTTCCAGTCACTCTCTAGGAGCAGGGTCAGTCTCTGAGAGGGCCAGGCGTGGGCTGGCGTAGGTAGTCCATTTGGTGAGGTGCTTACAGAGCCCGAGTTGGAACCAAAAGACCTGAGATAGCTTTTGGACCCAGCTGAGTCAAGTTTTAGCACGTGATCTTGGCTGTCTGCATTTTCTGTAAAATTCCCGCCTCCTTCAAATACCCTGGAGTCGAGATGGGAAGTAAATGGGAAAAGCTTTCACAACTGCAAGTTTACATAAAGCTACCAGATACCAATATTCCAAGGGCCTGGAAAGGTTTGTGTTCTCCACACACCTCCTCTGCACCCCTACTTCATTTCCATCGTCTTTCTGGACTCAATCTCATTATTTGAAGCTAAAAATTTTGATCTCAATTGATGTCAAAACACATTTGTGGCATGGAACACTTCACCCCAGAGGTTACTCTAAAGGAGAATGGTATTTTGAAGTAATCCTAGACGATTAAGCATGTACCTACAGGAGAAATGAATGTAAAAGGGGGAAGCTAGCAGGTAGCGAATTTCACTAGTTTGTTCAAAACTGGTCATGGTAACAGCAAACACAAACTGAAGTAAGGAGTTCTAAGAAACTGCTTTGGAATTCAATCAACTGCAAAGAGGAGGAGGGACTGTGAAGGTAAGAGGGGTATTAAGTCTCACATGGGCCTGATTTGCATCTGGGCTCGCAAGGTCCTTGTCCTATCAGAGCTGCGGGTTTTCCATCAGTGAAATGGGACATGGCAGCAGCAGCCCAGGATTCTGAGGACGCACTGAGTTGAGGCAGAAAGCACCTCCTGTGTGCCTGATGGAGAGCTGTGCAAGGATACCTTACCAGGAATTTCCGTTTTTGCTTCCAGTGGCTGCCCTGGGCGTTGGTGGCCACGTGTGCTTCAGTGACAGTTTTGATGAGCTCCCATTCCTCATCCGTGGGCTCTGGCTTGTGCCCTATGGATTTCTGCAGCTCTTCCCGCCGCCTCTTTTCCCGGTTCTCCTCAATCAGCTTCCTCTTGGCCAGCCTCTTGCTGTCATCCAGCACCACTGGGAGGGAGAAAGGTGAGGATACACATGGATACTCCCAAAATGTGTGGCAGATGGCACATCCTGGAGCCTCAGGGGTGGGGGCCGCTGAGGCACAAGTGGCTCTGTGGGTTGCTTAGTGGGGGAGGGTAGGTTACATGGGGGATTTTTCTCCCTTTGGTAGCAAATTGTTCCTGGTCAGCCATTGGCCAACATGAGCCCTTGGGCCAAATTCCCAATGCCCAGTCAGCTCTTGAAAATAAAGCTCCTGGGGAAATTAGGTACCAGGATCTCTAACTCCACAGAGGGGAGCCCTAGGAACAAGTGAGGTGGAAGGAAGTGAAATTTATCCTACTTGTGGGATTACAGGTAAATCTGTCTAGTCAGGCAGCTGAATTCACACATGGCTTTTGTTCTTCTTCCTTAAGATTCCTCTTAAAATGGTAAGGAGTCTTCAGGTCAAAGAGAAATTGTGGAGTGGTAATGGAGGCTCCTACTTCCCTCCTCAGAGGAAAAGGACCCCAACTCTTCATTGGCTCCTTTAAGGGCTAATGAGAACATGGCTGGGCCTATCTTGAGCTTCACAGATATTCACTTTACATTGTTCCCTACTGGATCAACTTGCAGCGGTAATTCAGGAGCCCAGGCTTCGAACTCTAGACAGATGTGACACTGTCTTGAATTCTGACACTAATACTTCTGGTTGTGTGACCTCTTAGGCTCTCTGTGCTTTCTTTCATCTCTTCCTAAATGAAATGAGATTGATAATACACTGCCCAAGGTACTGAATGCTGTAATGCTCAGTAAATATAACCACAACTTTTATCATTTGTGCAAAAGGGAAATAAGAAGAACAGGTAACAAGAAACCTATATTTCCATGGTTAATTTCCAAAACAAAACCAGTTCACTCATCTCTTAGTAGCTAGCAATGGAATGGGAAGTTGCAGTGTCACCATGTTTTAGAATCAGAAGGGACCTCAGATATCATCCAACTTCCTCCTTTCACCAAGGAGGAGAAAATCGATTCAGAGAGCTTGTGACTTGTCTGAAGTCACAGAGCAAGTTCATGGCAGAGCCAAGCCTAAGATGCCTGCCTCCAGTTCTACAACATCACTGTTCTAGGACCAGTTCTTAATGACCTGGCAGGAAAAGGAAAAACAGCAGTGGAGGAAGAGAACCAAGGTGCCCGGATAATCCACAAATAGAATACTAAACCCTGGGTAATCTAGACTGCAGTGGGTTGTCAAAGTGAGCATTTATAATGGTAGGAGATAAGGATAAGGCCTGCTAAGTCACTTTGGTTCTTACAGCAAAGGGTAATAATACCCAGAGCCACATAGTCTGAAGCATCTAGTGTGTCAGAGACTATTGCATTTGACATGAATTATCTAATATAATCCTGGACACAAGCCTCTAAAGTTGGCAGTGATTTCAAAGCAGAGGAACCTAAGGCTTAATACTGGAGGTCACACAGCTAATAGCTAGCAGTGCTGAGCCTCAAAGACAATTTTTTAAATTATAAAGCCTGAGCTCTTAAAATGCCTCCCAAACAATTAAGGAACACCCCAAATTTTATCTCCATGCAATCTAGATTAACAGCGTTTCTTAACCTCAAAACACTCATACCTTAAAGTTCTTAATGAAACAATGAAAGAGACAATCAGTTGTAATGGTTCATTACAGTAACATATCTAAGCATTTGGTCCCAAGTTAATCATATTCACATATCCTTCTCAGGCATATTGTTGGCAAGGCTAAAGCCTTTAAAAGATAAAGAACAGACACAGCTAGAGGAGGGGATTAACTCAGGATTTTCAGTCTAACCCCATAACACAACCCTCTTCCTTTTGAACGATTCTGCATTCTGCCTTACTTATCATGCAAAGCAGCCTATTCCATGGTTTTTTTTTTATTGTTGTTCTCTCAGAGAGAATTCTATTTATCACATAAGGGTAAGCCATGATTATTTCCTTTTATATTAGAAAGAATCCTCACTGAATTTTCTCTTTCTTTCCTTTGCTTTTCCTTTTTAGTTTTTAGCTAACAGCGGGAATCCCTCATGGATGTGCGAAAGTTTACGGCAGTGGACATCATTAATACTGATGTCTGACGAAAGGCAAGCCTTGTTGTGAGGAACACGATTCTCCTTTTTATGATTAATTAAGGTGACTGGTGTAAGCCCCTCACCCAGAGTGGGGAGGAGAGACCCTAAGGGCTAATCTCACCACCATATGCTGTGGCATTGGGAATGCTGGGTATGATAACTTCAGCTCCAACGTCCTTATGGGAAAAATACAAGAAGCAACCAAATGAAGGATGCTTCATGTCAGAGCATTCAACTTTGAATTCTTCGGAAATTTCCTAGACATTTTCTGCTGCTGCCCTGTCTCTAAAAATGTCCGTAAAATAACTTACGTCTTTGCTTTTGAAAAAAAATATGAGAACTAGACCATGAGACTCTTACCACATGAACCCTGTGTGTGAAAAGTACTTTACAAGTTAAAGGGATGAGACCCCGTTCATAACATATTGCAATGCTGCTAACAGTCCGCCCTCCAAACGCTACACGAATAATTTAACCACTTTACTTCCCTCATCGTCTGGCTACTTTGAGAGTTAAGAGTTGATAAGACAGGAGTAGGATAAAGCCCACACTGTAATGGTTTCCATCCCCTGGATGGCAAGCGGGATGTGGGGAGGGACGGGGGTGGGAGAAGCCATGTATTCTCCTCTCTGTCTATGTGGGTCCTTACTGCTTTTCTGCCTGGTTAATCTTGAACCAAATCCTTCCCCAGTCAACACTCCTTGAATAGGAAGCAAATGAAGATGATCTACTTACAATCTGTTGCCATGCCAACATAGATACATTTCTTGAAGCGGCATTCCTGGCACTGATTTCGTGTGACTTTGTCTATGACACATTTGCCTTCATATTTACAGGAATAGGATGGATGGAGATTTTTCTGAATGGTTCTTCTAAAGAAACCCTACATGAGAAAGAAAGACCCAAGACAACAGTTTCATATTTTCTAGAAATAAATGATTCTGGTATTTTGAGTCCATATAATTGTGGGATGAATTGTTTGGGGCCTTAATATATATTTGGTCCTCTAGTTTTTTCTGCTTCCCCTAACATGGGATAGTAGGCCTTCACTCTAAGGAGCTGAAGGAGATGTTGAATGATTGCAGAGTCAATACCATTTTGGATTTTATTCAAGGAAATGAAGCCAATGGAAGAATCTAGTGCTTGCTTTTATTTTCTAAGCATTTTTTTGGTTTGTTTTTGTTTTTCTTCCGGTACCAGGAATCGAACTCACGACCTTGCACTTGCCAGGCAGGCGCTTTTGCCACTGAGCTAAATCCCCAGCCCCTATTTTCTATGCATTGAATAATATTTATTATTTTTCATAGCATGTTACACTTATGCTACTAAATGAAGCTATGAGGAGCTTTACTAATTTACACTAGGAAAAGGAAGAGCTGGATACCTGTAATACTTTACCAATTAATAATGTAATCATTTAGTAATTAAATAGATGCATTACCTGCATCTAGAGATTTTGCATAATTCTTGTTTTAACTTTTGAGATGGCCCTCACTCCTTCAAACATTCTCCAGAGTTTCCAGCAAATATTTTCCCAAACTGACTGCATTGAAGTTTTTCTTTTCACAATCGTCTTTTATGCTGATATCTGTAGACATACACCTATAAGTTCAGTATGGTTTTTGCTTTCTGAAGTACACTATTCAGTTCTAGGTTGGGGGGTGACATATAAAATCATTAAGGGGGTCCTACTAGAACTTTTGTGGGTGTGATCCCTATGCCTTAGCCACTGTATTCTGAATTGTGGGAATCAATAAGGGCAATGAGCACTTACAAGGAGTGCACTGCGAAGGGCTCTTGGATGGATTCCATATCTTCCTCTCTTGCACACAATCTAATTTATAAGGTACTCTTAATATCTCCATTGTAGGGTTGAGAAAAGCTAATTGTTAGTCAGGTTAAATTACTTGGTTCAAATCATGTGGTAATTGCATGCTGGAACTTGGTTAGCAACACAGGATATGTACTCCAAATCTCATTTGCTTAACTGCTTATATAAAGTAAAATGAAGTGTGCTTACTGTATTATTTAAATGAATAAATTATAAACAGTTTCCTCCCTCATCCATCACTCAAAAAACTTCCATTTTATCTTCCATTTAACTTCCTTGTTTTTGTTTTTTTTTTGAGACAGGGTTTCACTATGCAGTTCAGGCTGGCCTTGAACTAATTTTGAATCCTAGGTTGGCCTTGAACTCACAGCAATCCCCCTGCCTCAGCCTCCTGAGTGCTGGGACTACAGGTGTGCACCACCACGCCTGGGCTCTGTTTTGGTAGATTAGTAAGGTTTTAAGAAATTCTCTACTAAAATGTGAAGGGGGCCTCTCTATTAAATGGTGGACCTGAAATGTCAACTGTCCTCTCTTTAGCCCACATTTTGTTATCTTTTTGATTTAGATTATGTATATATGCCCACTTTCATAAAAAAGCTCTTCCTTATAAGAAAAGGTTCACAGCAAAACAAACTGTGAAAGCCCCAGGACAAACTGAGACTTGTAGACTTCTTGTGGGGACATGTGCTTAAATCCTCTATCATTTCCACTGTTCAAGTGCTAATAGAAAACTATCACGTTATATTTTGATTTTGTATCCTTAAATACTTGAGCCTGTGAACCTGTATGATACGATACACAGTTGCAGGACTATGGAATCACATGTGGGCATCAGTATGGGATGTCAGCAATCTTTCTCTGGGTCTTGAGGGTGGGTAAATTCTGCAAAAACTTCAATATCAGAGTGTGTCACATGACTGAAACGTATACTTGTCTGTGAAATGCCCTCCTCTAGGTGCCCCTGTGTCCAAGGAGGGTAAAGGAAGGCAAAACAAACCCTGAGATTCCTGGCAGGGGACACACAGGGGAGTGCTGGCCAGCACTCCTCTCCTGGAGGAAGCCAGATTTCTGCAGAGGGGGATATACCAAAAATCTAAGACCACCCAGCGAGAGAGTGCTGAGTGCTGAGTGCTGCTATAAGGACAGGAAAAGGGTTTCTCAGTCTGGAACTGGGATGACTTTTTCTCCCTCACACTCTGATGCCTGCTTGTACTAAGGGACTGGGGGCCAGGGCCTCCTGAAAAGTGAGACAGCCCTCAGGAGAAGGTAGGGTGTGATATGCCAGAAGGAGGGGCACCTATTTCTCCCAAAAGGCTACTCCGTGTACTCTTTAATGGAACGAGTGAAATAATTTATACTTGGCTTATTTTGATAAAGGGGCTGTGGTGGCTTGCTGTACTATTCATGGGGCTAGCTTTCCTTGGACACTTCACAGGCCCAATGCCTTTGATATTATTGCCTCTCTTAAGTACAGTGAAGCATATTTTTTACATATGATGAAGCGCTACTTTATATGAGTAAATGTCAAAATGCTAGGTCTCTTAATTTTTTAAAATGACCAAAGTTACCTCCTGGAAGTAAACTTGGTAGAAGACATTTATAATAGTATTTATATATAATATAAATTTATTTATATTTTACTTATTTAAAAGAAATCCTTTTAAATAAGCAGCAGCAGAGCGCAGGCTTTGCATTTGTGAGGTACTGGGCTCAGTCCTCAGCAAACACCAGCCCCGCTAAAAAGAAAAAGCTGACAAGTGATGTCCTTGGGAATAAATGAAGACACGTGTTTCATTGATTTGTTGGTGAGCAGAGTACTACTTTATAAATCAATATCACACCTGTTTCTGTGTGCTCTGAGAATTGGATCCACTTGGTGGTTCAAGATGATGTACTAATCAGTGAGATGAACAGCAATGTGTCACCCTCCTAGTTCGATATTTGGGCAGCTTTGGGTATTTCTTAGAAAATAGTTCATTGTGGGGAAGCATCAACACTCTTTCTATAAGAGCTGCACAAAAACTGGCACATCACAGCAACAGCATATGTCCAAAAGATTTCACTTTTGTCCAGGCAAAATGGGCAAAAATGATTGTACTCATGTTGTATGGGGTAGAACTATTTTTAAATGACAGACTCGAGTCAATAGTATAGAATATAACCCCTTTTCATCTTTCACCACTCTTAAAAATTATGCATCAAGTGAAAAAAAGTTGTCTTTTTCCAAAATACTTTGTTATTATAGTAAATGATCCGCAACCCCCACCCCTGGCACCCAAGGAAAGCTCCTTTTTGGTTTTATGATGGAGGCAATCCTACAAACAGTACTGCTCTCATCGGACATAGAGGTTGAAAATATAAAGACATATACAGACACAGAGGTTGAAAAAACTAGCGTTTTGCCTGATTTTTCTTCTAAGCAAACTCAGCTGAATCAGGCTGCAAAGATCCAGTGGTCCTGGGAGAAGAGGCTAGCTGATTTTAGTGAGGTCGTACCTTAGGTGAATGGGCTCAATTCTCCCTTTGTTAAGGGGCAATTGCTACTATTGCATTCAGTCCTCTGGATGGCACATGGACCTTGGAGAGTACCTTAGTAGAGTTAAATATTAAATGTAATTTTCATTAGATTCTCTCCCAGAATTCAAAATGTATCATAAGAAGCTGATTTAAAAGAATCTCAATACTGCATAATCAGGCAGGTAAAGCCTTTTAAATTAAGGCTAATATAGAAAGAAAGGCCAGCTTTAGTCACTGGGCTTTTGTAATTAGAGAATGGATCTAGAGTTATGCAGTTTTATTACTTTCAGTTCAAGCCAATAAACTGTGCTTTCAAGAGAGGGTTTGCAAGTCTTCTAATTAATAAATAGCCAGGACTTACTTGTAATTAGCTTCATTAAACTTGTTAGGACATTATTTTCATAGCTGTAATGGCAACCTTTAGCCCAGTCTCTGTTGAAGAACTACAAAATCCAGATCAAAGGGGTCTGAACATGAAGAACATATTATACTATACTCCAAATACAGTCTCACAGATAAAAGGCCTTGGGACCTTAGAAATTACCTCTTTCCAATGCATGTATAATTGCGACCTTCTCAGTAGGCTTCTCCTAAGCATATCCTAATTTCATGTACAAAAAATAGGGTATTTGCATGGAAAAATTTCTACTAGGGAAATGGAACACTTCTTGATGTAAATCGAAGTGACATGTTAATTTTGGAAGTCTAGGGGGAAGGGAAGGAAACAAGGGGGTCTTAGAGGAAGGGAAGAAGAGGAAGTTAGGTAGGCAAAGGAGGAGGGAAGATGGACTTTTTTTCTTCAAATTTTAGTACAATTGTTGCTCAAGAATTGACTCCTTTGGTAGGTTTTAAATATAAAACATTCAACAAGAAAATAATTTTAAAAGTCCTTCCCTGATTTTAAATACAGCATCATAAGGCATTAGCTGAATGCTGAATACGGTGCTAGGCTAAGCTTTCTTCGTGTTTATGATAGATCTCATTTTCTAGGCTAGGTTGTTTGCCCAAAAGATATTTTCCATAAAGCTCATCTTAATTTTGTTGGGGAAGAGTGCAATTAGGCAAATGTAGACTCACTTTTGGGAAGTGAATGGACTGTTGTTCTCTGGTATGTTCTTGTCAAGTATCTCTTAAAGAAAGGGCTGCAGAAAATACAATTACTTGATGGACGACCTGAATCTCCTTACTGCAGGCTGTGCAGAAAGCCACTTTGGATCAACTTCAGAATATAATTGAACTTAAGTAGCCTCAAAGATATTTCCTAATGGAACACTTAAGTGGGCACAGCCATGCAGATTAACAGTGGAAACAGCCTATGACACAGAGCAAGGCCTATCGCCTCCAATTTTGGAGATAGAAGAAATGTCAGTGTGCTTTTAGCTTGTTAATTTTGTGGGATAATAATGTACTTAAAAATTTATGTTTTTTAAAACTCAAGGTAAAGGTTTTATTAATTTCTTTTGGTTTTATTGATCCTCTTCCTGTTTTAAAACACTTGCTGAAGAAACCAGACCTCACACTTTTGCAAATTCATCTCCTAAACATGTCAAAAATGAGGGTACCACCAGACCCGTGGATGGTCACAGTGAGGAAAGTTGAAATCTGGTTTTAATTTGAACTCAAATGTTGAATTCCAGTAGAGCACTAAGAGGGGGCCAGCAGGGCTCTTACCTTGCAGCCTTCACACGTGATACAGCGGTAGTGGTACCCTGTGGCTTTGTCACCACACACTACACAGAGCTCATCCTTGTCCAAATAGCTGGGGATGTACCCTGTGAAGGAGGCGAAAGGAGAGCGGTGAACAAATGATATCATGTGCAAGTCAGAGATACACCGGGGCTGAGGTTATCCGAGCAGTGACAGAATTGGTTTGCCGAGAGGAGGTAGGTTGCAGGAGACTTAATGAAACCAGCAGTAAGTATCTTACATTTGCAGAATAAACATCGTCTGAATGCTGATGAGATCCTGGTGGCTCTGCAGATGAGATTAGCTGGGGAGGCTGTTGGAACCCATAAATCAAGTAGAGAGACCAGGAGTTAGACTACCTGCAACACTGAATTCTGGATAACACAATTTCCTTCACAAGGCTTATTTCACAACTTATTCTTAAAAGACTTTAACTACTTTGGGGTCAAGGCACTATGCACTGATTTCAGAAACTTTCATAGCTGGGAAGGTCCTGGGAGATCTCTAAGTACTTCCGAGGTGAAGAAACTGGCCTTTTGGGCTAGGCCCTCCTCAAGGTCACACTGGACTTTACTAGCAGAGACTAAGACCAGAGGCTCTTCACTTCCAATGCTGGTCTTTTCTAAAAATAGAAAGTTTAAATAGCATGATGAAGGCCACCTAAAAGAATGCGGTACACTTGCGATATTATAATACACAATCCAACAACCTTGGGTAGCATGAACTAATAGTGGTTCTCTTGAAGAAAAGAAAATCCAACCATCCTAAGTTCCTTCCATAGGGTACTTTTAGTTTGTTGGTTTAAGTTTCTTAACCCAGGAAACTGAAGTTTTAAAAAAAATAGGAGCTACCTGCCTGTCTTTGTTTCTTCTTCTTGGAGACAACACCCTCACACAAGAACCTGCTTCAGAAGAGCAAGTTCAGTTCCACTTGTATCAACCCTTCACTACAAAAGCACACAGTTTTTAAGGCCAAAACATCAAAACAAGGCACAATTATTTGGGGTGAGGAGAAGAGAGAGATTGAGAAAACAAAACCATCCATCATGGTTCTTAGGAAGCTCTTTGATTCAGCACACTCAGTCTCAGGAAAAGATCAGTTAGATTGAAATACTGGTAACTTACTGTACATTTTACCATGATATTTCCACAAACCTTTTATTAAACTAGGTTTCTCAGGGCTCATTTTTCAGAGAAGAAAAGTCATAAAGAAAATAGAATAAAACGAATCCTTTACATAATTTCTTTGCTCAGTCTTTAATTTAGAAAAAATGTTACTTCTTGGGAGGCAGGTAAATGATTTCAAAGTGAGATTTTGTAATCTATAAAATTATATTACAGCTTTTCTTGATTTACTTTGGCTTCATGCAAACCATGATTCATCTCTTGAGTTCACTTCCAGGTTTTCAGAACTCTCATCAGACATTTTAAAAAGAGAATTCTGGGAGGGATCTGGACCAAAAAAAATGGAACTGATATGGTTTTTATATTACTCAACCTCTCATCTATTCATGAATTAGCAAACATTTATTTAGCATCTACTACATAGGTGCTAAACACCGCAATAGGTGCTGAGAAGACAAAAAGGAATAGAACATGATTTCTTTCTTTGGAAAATTTTAAGCAACTGAGGTCTGTTTTTGGCTCTGGTCTTTCCTCGATAATATAAAAAAGAGAACATGATGGAAAAAACATGAAAAGATGCTCAACTACACCACGAAAAAATGCAAATCAAACAGTGAGATACCAGCTCACATTCACAGAGATAGTTTTCCTGAAAATGACATTGTAACAAGTGGTGGAGAGGTTGGGTGCTCATGTACTTGTATGGCAAATAGACATAATTTTTAAACTACGTGCTAACACACGCATCGTCCTGGCAAAGACAGATCGATTACATATTCACATCAGAAGAGTTACATCTTAACGTCTTAATAAGCTCTTCTCAACTGTGTCCAGTTGATCTGACAAAGCAAAGACTTTTCAGGTTTTGGTCTCAAATGTGGACTACAGAGATAAGGGAGAAAGAGGTCCAGGTCATTTCCCTCTATTCCAGGAACCAACTGTAATCCAGTTGGGCACTGTGTTGTTTATGGGACATGCTATAGGCAGAGCCACAATATGGCAGCTGAGAATGCTAATTTATAGTTGGGAAGATGGGGGTAACCCACCTTTACCTCATCATACCTCATCCTGCCTCACTGCACCTGCTGGCTCCATCCTGTAACACTGACAGTAGGGCACTGGAGAGTTTCTCTTTTCTGTAGCTCATTTATTTAGGTTTGACCTTTAAGGTTCTTGTAAGTCCTGGAATCCAATAGTAATTGAGAAAGTGGACTGGGCTCCTTTCATATTCTGACTGCTCTTGAGAGAGGGGGTTTGCTTTACTCTCTCATTTCTCTTAGATTATTTTCTTGGTAGGTGGAAATGACTAAACATCTTAAATCACCAAATCTACAGAAATGTCTACTTAAGTTAATGGCAGCTGCTCACATGATCATACTAGTGCACCCTACTCATTGCTTTATTTTCTTTACAATATTAGTTTGGAACCATCTTATTTATCCAAAACAGTCAGTCACACGTAATGATACATCAATCATTATGTTTTAGTCCATTATTCATCATTAAATAACTTGCACCAGGGAATAACATCCCACACATAATGACTAGGTAGGTAGGGCTTCTCTTCAGGTTAATGGATACACCTGACAATATCACATGCTCACCAATCCTCCTATAGAACCTATTTCCTGCTGTTTAACTTCAAAGTCGTCTTCTTTTCTCTTTTTTCATGCTCACTAAATGAGTAACATGCTTCCAACATGCCCAAACGAGGAAAATGCACATATAACATTAGTGACGTTACCATGCCTAGACACCAATGCGTGTCACAATGTCAGTGTCACATGTGACACAGTTCAGAAGCCCAATCATCTGAGGAGCTGCATCTGTGTGTTGTCCCAGGTAACTGCTGAATAAGCTTGGTTAACTGCCCCCCCCAAGCAATTAAGACCCAGGACAGGATGTGATAGTTCAAGAGTGATATTTTTCTCAGTTTTTATTTGCTCACACACATTATTTTTCAGAATAATAAACTCCACTGTCACTTTATCAAATATATTTTTATGAAAGCAAACTCCATCTGTTTGTTCAACAAAGGAATTAAATTTGTTTTTTTTTGTTGGCATTTGGCAATCTCTGATGAATCCCTGAGTATCTTGCATATGAAATAAGTTGACATGGTAAAATATTACCTTTTTAAAAATCATCTTTTGGTAACTACTTTATTAAGATACAACTCACATATCATATTATTCAATGGCTTTTCATATATTCAGAGTTGTAAACTGTCATCACTATCAATCTTAGGACATTTTCATCATCCCAAGAAGAAACCTCATACCCCTAAGAGTCACCCCCTCATTCTACCCTTCTCCTGCACCCTTTTGGCCCTTGCAAACCACTGATCTGCATTTTGTTTCTACAGATTTGCTAACTCTGGACATTTCATACAAATGGGGTCATGCAATATGTATCTTTCTACTTAGTAGAATGTTTTCAAGATTTATCTACTTGCAGCTAACAGTAATTTTACAAAATTTGATTCTGAGATACTTGGGATATAGACAGGAAAACTTGTACATTTGCATTACAAATTGTGTACCAGATAATGAGGTTGTCTTTTTGGCTTATGCTAAATTCAGTGCTTTCCCCTACATGGGTAAAATCGGAAGCCTGGCTAGTTGAATTCTTTTGAGTGAATTCTAACAGCATGGCGGGTCCTAGGAAGAAATACCTGGAACTTCTTGACACACATATGGCCCTTAGGTAATACATATAAAGCAGATTAATCTTGACGGTAGATCTAGAATAAAAGGTAATGCCTAGGAAGGAGGGGAGAGGAGCTGAATTTGGAGGCCTTTTTCCATCTGATTAATCTTACCTTCTGGGTGAGACTACTTGCCTAGCAGAATCAATCCTGGAGTTTTAAAGGAGCCATTGTTATCCATGGTAGTGGCAAATACTCTGGGAAGCTCAAAGGAGTGAAGAACCTGCGGGCTACATTGTTTATTTGAGGACCTGCATTGGTAACTAGTAAAGAAGCCTGATGAATAACTCCCCTTGCACCCAAAAATAGTCAAATGAATTCTGATCCATCTTTAGAACTAAGAACTCAGAGCCAGCAAAAACCCTGGGTAGGTTAGGATTCAGGATGAGTCTATATTTTAACACTTCTGAAGAAGCCACTAAATTATGAGTATGCTTATTCATTCTATTTATTTCCCGGTACTGGGAATTTAACCCAGGGACTTTGCACCAAGCTACATCCCCAACCTTTTCTTTTTTTTTGTATTCAAGACAGGGTCTTGCTATTAAGTACCTACTTGCCTGGGCTGGGCTTAAACTTGCGATCCTCCTGCTTCAGTCTCCCAGAGTACTTGAATTATAAACATGTACCATCAAATCCAGCTCATTCTTCCAATTTTATATTGAACTTCCTCAATTCATGCAAGAGTTCAGGCCCTTCTGATTTAATCTTTTTCTTTATTGGTAACCTCTGCTCTATGGCATTGCTTTACAGACTTAAAAACCTTGTATGGATTATCCTTTAGTTGTTTTCTAACATACTAATCCTGATTCCTCTTACATTTAATTCTTACTATTAGGAACAAAGCTTTGCATCATGTTACTCTTTAACTGCTGGGAGATAGCAGTCGTGGATTTCCAAGGCTTCAAACGCCATTCACAGGGAACAGAGCAGGGGAAGAAACAGAAGTAGGACCAAGTCAGAGATTAATCCAGAAAATGGGCTGAAGACACAGTGTCAAGGGACCCTCGATTTTCATCTTAGGACATAAAAAGGGGCAAAGCAGTTTCGGACTATTTCTTCTGATAAGAACTCCTAAAACTAAAGTGTATTTGTCAGTTTTAGAGCCAGTCCTGGCATCATGCACAAGAAGTCTTAGCTAAGTTTCCTTTTTCCTGTCCTTGTAGCCCACATTACCTTTCAACCTACAATTAAGAGTGAGAACACTTGAAGATGCAAATCACTAAGAAAGGAAATAGATTGGTATAACGAATTT